CCCCCGGCCCTCTAATACCAAACCCAGCGGGAGCGCGTTTCCCGCAGTGAGAAGGTTTAGCTTGCTTTTCAGTCATAAATTGTGGAATTGTAAAAAACCAAACCAAAACAAAACAAAAAACCCCCTGCCTTTTGAATCCTCAGGGTCCTCGGGTGTCAGCCGTGTCCTTACGCTGTCCGCTGCGACCACAACGTTTAGGCTTCACACAAATGTATCCTTTTTAATAAGAAGGGGGCCAGTGGCAGGCAAATGTTTTACTCTTTGCCTCTGTGAGAGCAAATATACATCCTTTTGACATACCAAAATTATTTAGTGTTTTTCTTGGTACAGTCTATATTTGGCATATGAGCGTACCTCGTTTAAAGGTGGTCAATGGCACCAACTAATCTTCAGACATTAACTATGCATCAACTGCGGGTTTAAACTGCATGTTTCTTCCAGTTGCCAAATCCCATTAAAGTAAATGTCCTGGTGCTTATTCTGGTCCCTGAAAGGGAGCATATGTATGACAGAAAGAGGAGATTAAGGGAAAACGTAAAATAAAAGCGCACGAGGGTGTCTGCTGCTGTGTCCCGTGCCTGGCGTGTCTTGTTGCAGCTGCTTCTGAGGTCCAAGCCGAGCTCACAGCTGGGCTGTCCCATTACAGCCCTCCCAGTGGTGCCCTCGAAATACTACTTCTGGACTCTTCTCACTTTGGTGATGAGGGCGGCTCCACGGGGAAGCTGGGGAAGGTGGTGGCAGGAGGCCCTCCAGCGCACACCTCGGTGTGCGGGGCTCCCCCCACCGAGCACACTGTCCCAGAAGGAGCTGCTGAGACCACCAGCATTCATGTGACAGAGACCACATCTGCATGCTTTGATGCTGAACCCCAAGAGCCATGTCCCCAAGGCACGTGCCTCTTCAGAGACTCAATGGCATAGGCAGGAGATGCTGATTTCTCATTTACTGTTGTGGCCATGCTGCCACACTAAGACCTGAGTGAGTGCCTGATCCTGTCCCACAGAAGAGTCATGAAATTCCCATTACAGCAGGGTTAGGTGCACAGCCATGACTGAAAGCAGAGCCTGTCCTAGCACCACAAGTAATGAGAGAAGAATGATCCCATGCTGTGACTCACACAGCCACAGCAAACTCATTCTCCTTGCCCCTTCTGTTTGGCCAAGACAGCATGTGCTCCTGCCCATGGCCCTTCTAAGATGCTCACTGCCTATTGCATGCTGAGGTACAAGTGGCCAAGCAACCCAACTCTGTCGAGGAACTGGCATGTCAGGGGATGAAACAACATGGATGCCTCTGGACAGCCAGAACTGTGTTTATCTATTCCTCAGCAGTTATTATATATGGCCATGACTGCTGATTTCCTAGCCCAATTCTGCCTGCTATCTGGTAGAGGTTAACTTGGCTAGCTCTGCCATTTTTTTTTTAACAGACAAAGGTGCTGAATACAGCTGGACTGCACAAACACACAGTCACAGAAAACCCTTATCACAACTGGAACTCTGTTGCTGTAGGTAACCCCTCATGACCAGTCACAAAATGGTGCTACTAAACCTGGGAGCTTCCTGCCTGTGGAGCTGGACCAGCCCTACCCTTGCTCATCACCTTACCTTCAACCTCTCGCTCTTCTAGAAAGGACACACAGGTCATGCTTCAGGGTTACTGAGCTGCCCCAATTCAAACTGTCTCAGGACCCCTTATGTTTACCTTGGTTTGTCGTTGTATTCCACACAGATGTCTGTTGAAAATAAATCCTTATGTTGTGACCATGAGAAACTGTGAAGAAGGCTCGTATTCCCACCCTTTTCGGTTAGTGGTTGTGGGTGGATAATTTGGTGAATCATAGTGTGTACACAGAACAGCACTGCTGGGTTATGAAGTACACTTGCTGCAGACAAGTTGATTGCATGCTGATGGCCTTGACAGGTCTGCTGGCAGGGCTTGAGGGTGAGGTGTAGTGCTTCAGGATGTGCATGTTTTCCACACCTATGTGCGTTCTAAATAAATCAGTGCCTACCTATTGTGGTGACATTTTGTGGTGCTGCATGCCAAAGGAACATGAGGTGAATATTTCACAGGCTACAAAATGGCTTTAGCATTTTTGCGAAATAAATATATGAGAAGACTTGACCCCCCAGATTTGTGAAAAATAAAGAAACAGGTGATTCATGACCCATCATAAAGTTCATCTGTGCCATATCTAAGAATAAAAACTGAATCATTTTAGATTTACGATATCTGCAGTACCAAAAGTACCTCTGAGCAATGAACGCATTTGGCTTACCAGTTGCTCCTTGCACATGTTGTTGTAGGAGGGACAGGTTCCAGAGAGGCTGTGCACACAGTCGTGCACTACTTATGACTACCAAGATGTTATGGGAGATCATTACCAAGGATTTTTGTCAGTTTGATCTCATTAGTAAATTCTCCCATTGAACAGTGACCAAAAGTGATCTCTAAAACTAAGATATATGAACATAGCAGTGTGGACTCCTTTTTTACATGATTATTACTATGCAGAATACTTCAGATACAGCATTGCCCCTGTTCATGTCAGTACTATGCACCCTTGTCTTTCAGCCATCAGTGTCTCAAACATGCACTGACAGAAGCAGTCAATGGATTTCTTCATAATGTACAAAGACCCCTCAGGACTTCAGGCTCTTTTGAAGGGTGGTTAATTCATGTAGCCAGGGCTTCTTGTGCTGCGTATGGGCTATTCTGTCTTTCAGGATGACAAAAAAATCTCACCAGGGCAATTTCTATTGCAGTGTGCGACTGTATCTGGTGCACTCAAGCTAAGGCTTTCGAAAGGCCCAGGATACAAGACTATTTGCACTGGCATTACACTGTACGTAAATTCTTCTCCACTCACTTCTATATTCTGTTGTAACAATGTTTATCGTCATGGACCCACAGACAGAGCCACGTCTCTCTGGCTCTTAATTTTGGCAGTTGTATAATTCTTTTAAGAAATCACAGCTCTTAAATGGTATTTGGATGAGTTTCAGGAACACTATCAAATCACTGTTCACTTGTTCTCTATAGTAAACAAGACTAAAACATGGTGAGTAAAGAGTAAGCTGTTGAAATGTGAGGAGAATGAAGACTCTTGAGGTTTAATAAAGTCAGTAAATACATTGTCATCAAACATTGCAGGATAATTCCGAGAAGTTTTAAACTATAAGTCCCTCCTAAAATACATGTTCTGTCTATGGCCAGGTCTGTAGTCTTTTCCAGGTATCTGGCTCTACTGACTAGTCAGATTCTAGGCAGTTTGCCTGGAATACGTCGAGTAACAGGAAATCAGTAAGACTGCCTGCAACGCCAAAAAATGGTCTATTCATGCTCTCGTGCAGCCTATGCCTCTGTCCTGAGCTTGATTCTTCTCTACATTATTTATTTCCCCCCCACACTAAAGGTGGTAGAGTTATCTATTGGCTGGATGTTGAAGGTGGTAATACAGTGACCTCCAGTGCTTAAATCCTTCTGTTCCAGACCCACCGCAGGGAAGGAAAGTGACACCACAGTGAGCGAACAGGTTAACTGCAAGGTCATAGACTTAGTGACGTTTTACATAGTGCAGCTCACAGCACAAGAGACTACAATGATGCTAAATTAAAAAAGAGGGTTAAAATAAGCCACTAGGTTATTACCAGGGCACAGCAACAAAAATGTATTTCTGTGTTTTCCTATAACATCTCTTATTCAGAATATCAAGGCAATTTACTAATAAAGCCCTATCACCCTCTTGTGATGAAGATAGAGAATACGTAGGAATCACTTCCCTGCTTTTGTGAAATCACTTCCCCCTTTTTCAGACACTAACAGACAATAACATTACACAACATTTGCGGTCAAAATGTCTTATTAAAGGTCCGAAGCAAATAGGAAAATATGGACGAGAGCTAGATCGTTATGACTGTATTAAGGGTAAATGTCTAACATTTGCTTCAAAGAACCACAGAAATGTTAATGATCGTATTGCCATTACTTCTCACACAAGTATTTTCAAGGGAGAGGATAGTCTTCTGCCTCTTCCTTCTCTTGTATTACCAAAGCATAGAAATTGAGTAGTCAAATGTTATAACAGGGCCGTTTTTCTTCTTGCAGAATCATTACCACTTCAGGACCTGGCAAAAACTGAAACCTTTACCAAACAGTCCACGGACTGCTGGCAGCTTGGCTTGTGCTGAGTTCTTAAGTGGAAATGGTTAAGC